CTAGTGGTGGAGATGGGATACCAGCCATTGTCCTGAAGAAATGTGCGCCTGAACTGGCCCCTGCCCTCTCCAAATTATATAACTACTGCCTCAATGAATCTTGTTTTCCAGACTGTTGGAAGTCCTCATCCATTGTTCCTGTCTTTAAGAACTCTGGAGACCCTTCTGACCCTTCTAATTACCGTCATATCAGTATCCTACCACTCTTCAGCAAAGTCTTCGAAACTTTAATCAACGCCGAAGTGGTTAAGCACCTTACATCCCATGATCTGCTCTCCGACAAGCAATATGGTTTCCGCTTTGCCAGTTCTACAGCTGATGTGCTTACGGTCATAACTGAAATTGTTTCCCAAGCACTTCATAATAACGGAGAAGCTCGTGCAGTGGCTCTAGATATCTCCAAAGTGTTTGATAGGGTTTGGCATGCCGGCCTTCTTCGCAGACCTCAGGGTTATGGAATTTCAGGTCGATTGTTTGACTTAATACAATAATTCCTGTCAAACAGTGTATTGAAGGTCGTTCTCAACGGATTCTCCTCCAGCTCCTATCCCACGAACGCAGATGTTCCCCAAGGCTCTATCCTTGGCCCTACTCTGTTCCTTATCTTCATTAACGACCTTCCTGATGTCATAGGTTCCCAAGTAGGCATCTATGCTGACGACACTACTATTTACTCCTGCCTCAGAAACAAATCTAGTGTCGCTGACAAAACTAACCTGGACGTCTGTCTCGAAAAAAACTCCAATCGGTTATGGACTGAGGCAGGTATTGGCTGGTTAACTTTAATGCCTCAAAAACAAAACTGCTCTCTATTACTTACCATAGAGAACCATCCCTGCCTCCCATTAGAATGTCTGACGCTCAACTCCACGAGAGCACCTCTTTGCGACTACTCGGTCTCACATTGTCTGCTGACCTGAGATGGAACAAATACATTAACTCAATAGCTTCGTCCACCGCAAGGAAAGTTAGCTCCCTGTACCGCGCCAAGAAATTTTTCTCGCCAGAGTCGATCCTTCAAATCTACAAATCAACCATTCGCCCTTACATGGAGTATTGCTGTCATATATGGTCTGGAGTCCTTTCTATTTGTCTCAAGGTCTTTGATAAAATCCATAGACGGATATCCAATGTAATTGGCCCTGATCTGGCATCTCGTCTGCAGTCGCTTTCTCAGAGACGTGCCGTCGCCTCCCTCTGTTTTTTTTTTTTTTTTTTACAAATAATTTCACGGTAACTGCTCCGATGAGCTGCTTTCACTGGTTCCCAGACTTCATGAATTTAAGCGTTCTATTAGGCTGGCATCCCGCTCTCACCCTTTCACTGTCGAAACTGTTAAATGTAGCTCTCTCTTCTACTCCAATAGCTTCATGTCTCGCACTTCTCGCCTGTGGAACTTCCCCCCTTTTCTTGTTTCCCTTATAGCTATAATCTCCAACTATTCAAATGTAATGTCAATCGACGTCTCCAGATGCCTTGATCTATCCCCTATCCTTCTCTCCATCCTTTCCTCTATCACTTCTCTTTGCTCTAGCTCCAACTCTCTGTAACCCCTTGCATGCTAGTGGCTTCCCGCCTTGCTTGGGGTGAAACACTTAAAAAATATATCGTGATCCGAATCATAGATTTATTTGTGCTGTTGGAATTTTCTACATTATTGATAAGCATGTTATTCGTCTTTATTATTATTATTATTATTTGTAGTCGTAGTAGTAGTCGTCGTCGTCGTAGTATTGCTTTGTTGTAAATGATTGCTTTTTTGTACTCTTATCGCATAGAAAGCATAATATGCAGACATTCTCACGGAAAATGTTTTTAAAATTGTTCGTTGACATTTTTTGTGTATAGCAAGAAATAAGTATTGTTAAATTCCTTTTTAGGTTATTCGGTCGATTTTTATACATGTTTTAATGTTTATTCCAAGTATTTAAAAGTCTCTAAATAAGAATATAACTCTTTTTTGTAAATGTTTACTTACTACGTTCCACATTTTTAGCAGCAAACTCTCCCAAGATCTTTGATGGGAAAAGTTATCGTCTGTTAAATGAAAAGCGAATCACGTGAAAATGAAAATAAATGAAAAATTTTAATTTATTTTCATAACTTTTAATTTAAAAGTTACTGAAAGACAATACGATCTATGAATTTCGCAAATTTAATTGGATTATTCACACAAATGTCCTTGAGAAAAACTACGAATCTTTCATTTCTCTCCTCATCTATGGGTTAAATAAATTCAAACATTTGAAGTTTTTTTCAACATATTAATAAAAATATTTATCCTATTATGATCAAATGAAACTGCTATATTGATCCAAACAAAATACATTTTCTCTGCCCACTAGCAATAAGCGGGAACTTGTTAATTAAAATGTTTAAACGTATTGCAATTATTGAAATATCTAATTTGAAGTTTTAATTGCAACAAACAGTGACAAATTATTCGTAAAAAATTATTTTCGCGTACATAAAATAAGTTTGGGACTGTTTTTACATAAGTCACTTCCCACTGCTGTAGCTTCCCTTTGACATTTCTATAAATATTTTTTTGGTAATTGTTCTGATAAGATTTCTTTTTTTGGTACCGCAACTTCACGAATTTGAATGGCAGTAATAGATTAGCAGCCCGGTTTCATCATTCTACAGTTAAAATGGTTAGATGGAACCGTAAGTTCGATGCTAATGGCTTCTACTTTTGCATTTGTGGAACTTTCTTCTGGCTTCTTGTTTCCCAGACAACTTTGACCTTCAAAAATTTAAATGTCATGTCAAGCGTTTTATGCCTTCTTAATTCCAATTCTTTCATTTTTCACATATTCTTTCACACTTAGTGGCTTTATTGCCTTGTTTGGGGTGAAATGATTAAAAAGGTTTTTATTATTAAATTATTTTCATTTCACATCAATCCAGTTAGGCCGTATTGATGACATAATACCTGTCATATTTAAAATATGTAATATTTTATCCAAAAAATAAAGTAGCTCTCCAAAGAATAATCCAATGAAAATGAATTCCTTTAACGATTTCGTTATTGGATTTTAAAAAAGTCTTACTTTTTTTTATTTAAGATATAGCGAAGAATTTATTTATTTCCTGAATGTCCATATTCCACAGTTGAGTAAAAAATGACAAAAACCTGTTTTCTTGCAGCTACGTTTTCCATTCCAGTTACGTCGACATAAGATAACTACCTCATATAAGAAAAAACAATCCTCCCAAAAATATAAACACTAATCATAACTCTTTTACCCACTGTACTCTTTTAGTTTTATTACAGATGAATAATTGAAATGTAGAGAATATTATTTATGTCAATAAAGTTCAATACATTGCTGACAGACAAAACAGCCCGACCTTTTAGAAAATAGTTTTTAAAACAGAAAGCCGGGATTTATTTTTGTAGTTTATTTGATCTAGCATAATTTTTTTTTATTCAATCATCTTCGCATGTTGTCGACGATTACGTTTTTTTTTTTTTTTGAGTTTTAAATTATATAATTTATTGTTGTGTATAGATAGGATATATTGAAAATGTTGAGACGCTGACATTTTAAACTTTTAATTATTTTTTTTCTTTTTTAGATCATCCACAAACTCCACCTCCTTAAACCATTTCAACTTTCTTGGTAGACTTTCTATTATCACAATATGGCAGACGTATTAATAAAAGTGATAAAAACATAGACAAAAACAAAAAAAGAACCTAAACGAAATAGTTTAGACTATATAACCTTTTTATACCCTTTTTATACGCTTTTACATCTAAAAAAGAAGAAATTAAATTTAAAAGTTTAGCGTTCTAACAGTTTCAGAGTATTTTGTCTGTGTAAAATCATAACCAACATTTGCATTTGATTTTCCCCCTCTCCTTCATACGCTTATATACTTACTTGAAGAAAAAGATCACTTTAGTCCGATGAAGTCCTAAAGTGAAACAAAATATTTTTCCACTTTGTCATTAATATTCCTATAATTTATTGCATAAAAAGGGGTTTCCATATAAAAGGGATTTCTATATAAAAAGGGTTTCCATATAAAAATGGTTTTCTATATATACAGTGGTCTACTATTTCATTCTATTACCATTATTATATAAAACAACATTCACGTGTATATGATGAACATAAATATTGAAAATATTTTAAATATCGATTAAATTCTTTTAAAATCTTTAAAAAATTAACCTCATTAATTAAGTTTACGATATGTTTTTTTAACAGATCAAACTAAAAGGTTGCTAAACAAATACAATACGTTACTTGGTATTGCAGTTGGAAATATCCAGATTAAGGAAAATAATGCATGTACTGCAGGTTAATTTTAGAGAAAAGAATGAGATTAATGACGATTCGTCAAGGATTGATCTCTTCATAAGCGTTTTTAGATTCAAACCGATATTTATTGAGATGTTATAAAAATAAGCAAGGGTTACTTAAGTAAAAAAATAGTTCCACTATTTTCTTTTACAAAGTAATCTTTTCATAAATAAGTTCAGTAATCAATGAATAAATAGCGAAGGTTTTATTCAAATTCGTTGGTTTTTAACAAATTTATTTTCTGCTTTGAAGAGTAATCAAAAATTTCTAAAACTAATAATTCCATTTCTATTTTATGTAAGAAATTATTTTTTACATCAGAGTTTTTTCAATTCTTCTTTTTAATGATATATTTATTATGGAAATTGCTTAAAACATTTTCTGCTTGATTGAATAGATTATATCTTAAACAATTTCAGTTTTAAGACTAATCAAAATACCATTCACTATTCAGTATTTTTCAAGAGATATTAAATATAAAAATCAATTCTACAAAAAACTTTTCAGAGAATCCTCTTCCTTCCATACTGGAGTATTTTCTATATTAGATCAACTTTTGTTGTTAAATGTATATCTTGCCAAATAATGTTAGCCAATAATTTAACTAGAAACGACACTGGATTAACTCTAGCATAGTAAGTTGTCTGACTCGTATGTAATAGTAGAAAAAGAAAACAAACGTACCATAAGTTCAGATTCTTCTTCCTTATATTCAGTGAGCATGTTCTTGTATGTTAGTGATCGTTCTAACCGTTTGCTAAATTCCTGGTTGTATTGGAGAGAAGAATATTCATTCCAGAAAGTATTATCTTGGGTCATGGCGGACATGTTAGGTTCCGATATTTACATTTAAGTGGAAAGAACTGGCGTATTTTTACAAATAAAATATGGCAAAAATGTGAAAGTTTCTTTTTTAAGAGAATTTTAAAAATGAATCAATGCTCCTGTTTAAAAATTACCACTCTTGATCCTATAATGGTTTATCTGTTTATCTGTGTCAGTCTATTTGTTTGTCTTTCTTTGTATCACACACACACACACACACACACACACACACACATGTATATATATATTCAGTTGCAAAGATCATTGTTACAATGTTTAGCAAATTTCATCCTGTTTGTTTTCATTTCGACCAATAAATTAAATTCTTTGATCATCACAAACGCTATCACATTTCAGTCAAAGTTCATGATTACAAATAAACAAGTATCGCTTGTGCTAAAATTACGGCAGTTCTGAAAACAGCTAAAGTAGTGATGTGAATGCTCGAGTATTGAGACGAGTTGTCATTCAATTTTCAATTTTGATGTTACAGGTGTGGAAAGTCAGTGAGTAAAATAACAATAGAAGACGGAAATAAATCAAAAACCTGATTAGAAAAGAGATAAAAAAATTGCAATATTGAAGGGTGGGCCTATAGTAATTGGCTCCCAGAATCGACATTGGATAAATTGAGGTTTAGGGGATGAATAGAGACAGTCTCGTCCACCCCTTGACACAGGATACTGGTAAATGTGGTGGAGATTTCAAAAGACTTGTCACTCAATCTCCAAGATAATCATTAGACATCTGGTGGGAAGATTCAAATGCAACAAAAGAATTACAATACTAGCCTTAGTGATTATATATATATATATATATATATATATATATATATATATATATATATATATGGGTGTGTGTGTGTGTGTGTGTGCGCGCGTGTGTGTGTGTGGCCTGATAATTGCGTTTAGCATGAAAACAGTCTGTCGCTTCTGAGTGTTGACTTCAATGTTCACTTATATATATATATATATATATATATATATAAACACACAATTAAGAAGACTGTGTACACAGAGCGCAAGAAATGCCGGATGTACACTGGATTTTTAAAAGGTTCAAATGGTTATAATTTATTACATTGGAATCGTAATCACGATCCAATTCATTCAAATTTTCCGATTTCTTTTTGAATTTGTAGGTCTGATGAATTGAATCGTGATTAGGATTCCAATGTAATAAATTATAACCATGGAATATTAGTGTTTGAGGCTTTTATATTATATTCTTACTCTGTCCTGGACATTGAGTTCTACCTGGATTCTATCCTCTTGGGAATTTATATATATATATATATATATATATATTTATTGATCACTAATATTATCTATCTATCTATCTATCTATATATATATATATATATATATATATATATATAGTATTTACATTAGTCGGACTATTGTCCTCATCTTTGTCGCCATATTTGTCACAACGTTTCGGCCGTTGTACGCTCCGGCCTTCTTCAGGTGGTTGGAATTTCGAACTGAACCCTTTATTTCGATCGCTGGGGTAGACTGTTCTAATTCCACGTGCCATGTTTGATGGATGTCAGTTATCAGTTATCTCCTGCTAATTTTCCCTCTGAAAGTTCTCCACTGCCTTAACCAGGAATTGAACTCACTTTGGGTCTGTCACTTTGGGTCTGTCACTGGATCTAACCAACGCCTTTATCCACTGTGCCTTGAGGACATCTGGGTATGAACTTCTGAGTATTATAAACCTAATGTTTTCAGCATCATTTTTACCAGTGCTCATATTGCAATTTTTTTTGCTGTTATCATTGCATGTCTTTACCAGAGTTCATATTGCAACTTTGTTATCATTGCTTTTCTCTGGCACTCCTTATTACTGGTTCCCATATTGTATTTATTTCTATGCTTGGTCGGCTCAGGAGATTTTTTGTGGCCCAGCATATGTGCTGATTCCTTAAGTTTACGAATTTTCCATTGGTGTTCCCTGTCTATGATCTCAACATGATCCCACAGGGGCGGTGATCTCCCTTCTCTCTCCATATGTGGTCAGCCACGCCTGATTTTTCTACTTCCCCCTCGCGTTACAGCTTTCTGGTGTTCTTGAAGCCTTACCTTGAGGGGGGCGGCCTGTCTCTCCTTTATATTCCTTTCCGCAGCTGCATGGGATAGCGTACACACAGTCTTTAGTCATGTTCCTCTCTATGGGGGTCTCACTCGTGAGAGATACCTGCGAAGTGTTGTCACGCTTTTGAAGGTTGTCCTGATGTTATATGGACCGCAGATCCTTTGTATTTTCTCTGATAACCCCTTCACATAAGGCAGGCAGACTGTTTTCTGAGTGTTGTTGTTCTCCTCCTCCTCCTCTTGTACCCGCCTATCCCAGTTTTTGGGGCTGCTTCCATGTACCCAGGGTAGTTGTTGCGTTGTAGGGTACTACTTATACTGACCAATTCTTATCTAACGTCTCTGGATCGCCACTTATGACTTTTGCTCGATGTTGTAAGCATCGGACGATCCCTTTCTTTACGCTGTATGGATGGTGGGAGTTGAAATTGAGGTACTGTCCGGTGAATGTTGGTTTACGGTATACGGATGTCTTGAACCCATTCTCTGTTCGAGATATTAGTACATCCAGGAATGGGAGTGAGTTGTTACTCTCTTTCTCCATTGTGAACTGTATCGAAGGTCTTATTGAGTTCACATGGTCCAGAAGAACCTGGACTTCTTCCTGATGTGGCCAGAGTATGAAAGTGTCATCTACGTACCGTAACCATATAGTTGGCTTTAGCGATATAGACTCTAATGCCATTTCTTCAAAGTATTCCATGTATATATTCGCCATTGCTGGTGATAATGGCGAGCCCATTGCTAAGCCCTCATCCTGTCGATATATGTGAGATCCCATTCCGAAGTGAGTTGTTTGTGTACAGAAAGTCAACATCTCCATCAGATTATCTATTGGAATACTGGTCCGCTCCTCTAGGGAAGAGTCAGAGGTTAATCTATCTCTGACTACTGAGAGTGCCTCCTCCGTGGGTACCTTGGTGAACAGACTCACCACGTCCAAGCTCACCATCTGGTTGGATAGGATGGGAGCATCTTTGATTATTTCCACGAAGTGGGCGGAGTTTCGGACATATGAAGGAGACTTTCCGATCAATGGGTCAATTATATCTACAAGGAAGCGACTCAGAGGGTGGCACACAGAGCCTTGGCAACCAACAATCGGCCTGAGTGGAATACCGTCTTTTGTGAATTTTAGGGAGACCGTATATGTGAGGTAACTTGCTGTAACGCTGCGATAACTGCCTATACGTCTTGGGTGCGAAGTGATCCTTGTTCTTGATTAGGATCTGTGACAGTTTGCGTTCCGTTTTCATAGTAGGATCTTTCTTCACTATGCTGTAGCTACCATTGCTAATGAGGTCTTCCAGTTTTCTTGTATAGTCCGATTTGTCCATCACTACAGTCGCATTACCTTTGTCAGCCGGTAGTATGATGATGTTCTCATTCCTCTGTAGTGATTCAATCGCCAGTCTCTCCAGTTTTGTTATGTTAGACCTGGGCAGCTTGGCTCTCTCCAAGGCCTGTCTCACTTTCCATCTCATTTCATCCGCCTGAGCCTGAGGGATGTTCAAGGCCACCTCCTCTACTCTGGCAATGATGTCCAAGTATGGCACCCGCCTGATGGTTGTGGCGATGGTTGACCCTTATTCAATACTGACTCCTCAGAGGCACTCAGCTGATATTGGCTGATGTTGACTACTGCTTTCACTGGTGGGTGATGGACCTTGTGCGTCACCTTCTGATCTTTCAATCTATTTAATTTTTGCACTTGGCGAGCCTTGACTACATCAAATTCATGTCTGAAGGATTTATCCAGGTCATTTTGGATCCTTCTCTGGTCTTCTTCATTGGTAATTCTGTTGAAGAGATCCTCGAGCGTCTGGGAGATATGAGCATGTACTCGATGTTTCATCCAACGGTTGTACTGGATTCTCTCTCGGACAAGGGCGTGTCCCGCTTTCTCTGCGACCCGACGAGCTCTCCTTGAATTGATAGGAAGTCTTGGTGCCAAGCCTGAAGGGATGAGTTGTAGGTCTCTGCATCGTATATATGTATATATTAATCATTTCACCCCAAGCAACACTGTAAAACCACTAAGACGCAAGGGGTTATTGAGTGTTAGAGAATATCAGAAAAGAAAAAAATCACTATTATGGAGACACAACAAGAAAAGAACAAGATTTAAGTAGACAGAAGAAAACGATTGACATTGCTTCTAAATTGTTGAAGATCAAAGTTGATTGGAATTCAAGAAAACGGAAGAAAATTTCACAAGCGAGAAGTGCGATAGAAGAAACAATTAACATAGAACTTACGGTTACATGTAGCCATTTCAACTATAAAATTATGCGACCTAGCCGGCAATATATATATATATCTTTTAGGGTCTACTTTTACGGGGAATTGGAACAGCGTGTGTATACCCAATAAAGAGCAAACTTTTGCCGCAACCCTTTGTGAGTAGTATCTTTTTTTTGACCCAATGTGCAAATTGTAGGCAAGAGAACAACATTGAAAAAACGGTGGAAATTATCAGCACCTCGATTTCACATACGCACACACACAGACACACAGAGACACAAACACAGACACACACACAAATATATACATGTTTATGTGCTCACGCGCGTGTGAAATATGATAAAATTCAATATTTTTCTTTTAATCGTAAATAATAATTTCATTATGAATTAGTTTTCGATATTCGTGAAAAAGATATTCTAAAAAATACACTCAGATTTTTTTTCAGTTTTTAAAAACTGCAAGTCTTTTTCAGGTCACAGAAGTCTATTGGATGATTTTCTTGTGTTAACACTTCTACTCTGATTACGATGCCCACAATTGTTTCTATTACTGATGACGATGATAATTGTTGTGGTGATAATAATGATTATTATCAGCTTATAAAAATAGATTTTCTAAACAGCGGATTTTACTACAATAGAAGTAAAATATATACCCCCC